GCCCCAGAGGGAGCTCCCCCGAAGGCCCCAGTGCTGCCGTCCGCATGCGTCCCGCACACCCATTTCGGCACACCCCTCACACGTTTCGTGGCCCCATAGGGAGCTCCACCGAAGGCCCCATGGCTGCCGTCCGCATGCGTCCCGCACACCCATTTCGGCACACCCCTCACACGTTTCGTGGCCCCACAGGGAGCTCCACCGAAGGCCCCAGTGCTGCCGTCCGCATGCGTCCCGCACACCCATTTCGGCACACCCCGCACACGTTTCGTGGCCCCATAGGGAGCTCCACCGAAGGCCCCATGGCTGCCGTCCGCATGCGTCCCGCACACCCATTTCGGCGCACCCCTTCACACGTTTCGTGGCCCCACAGGGAGCTCCACCGAAGGCCCCAGTGCTGCCGTCCGCATGCGTCCCGCACACCCATTTCGGCACACCCCTCACACGCTTCGTGGCCCCATGAGGAGCTCCACCGAAGGCCCCATGGCTGCCGTCCGCATGCGTCCCGCACACCCATTTCGGCACAACCCTCACACGTTTCGTGGCCCCACAGGGAGCTCCACCGAAGGCCCCAGTGCTGCCGTCCGCATGCGTCCCGCACACCCATTTCGGCACACCCCTCACACGTTTCGTGGCCCCACAGGGAGCTCCACCGAAGGCCCCATGGCTGCCGTCCGCATGCGTCCCGCACACCCATTTCGGCACACCCCTCACACGTTTCGTGGCCCCACAGGGAGCTCCACCGAAGGCCCCAGTGCTGCCGTCCGCATGCGTCCCGCACACCAGGTGTGTGGCGTGCCGACATGGGCGTCGCGGCGCGCGGGCGCTGCCGTCGGGGTTCCCAGGGAAGCCCCCTGCAGAGGCGACGCTCAGAGTCACGAGTACCGAGAGTCACGCAGACCCAAACTGTTCACAGTCGTATACATACATTTACACTGGGCGTATCCATGCACGCATTCATGCGAATAGAATCAATCGCGCGCAGATTCATTCATAATCAGACTCGCTCGCGATCCGACTCGCACGCGCTCAAGCTTTCATATTCGGACCTATCGTCTTCGTTCGTGTTGTGTACACTGCCACGCATTTCGGCACACCCCTCATACGGCTCGTGGCCCCATAGGGAGCGCCACCGAAGAAGATATTCACAATTGCGGTACTCTCAACTGCATATGGTTGGGTCCTTCGCCAGGCTAATTATTTGTGTGCATTTATTTGTGTGTCCCAGGGCCCCTTCAAAGACGTGAGGCAGCCTCGGGTGAGACGTCCGGCCCGCCCCTCCGACACGCCTGGTGGCCAGGCGAAGGGGGCTACCCACAAGGACAAGGGAGGGAGGAGGGAGGAGGAGGGAGGGAGGGAGGAGGGAGGGAGGGAGGGAGGGAGGGAGGAGGGAGGAGGGAGGGAGGGAGGAGCGAGGGAGGGAGGGAGGAGGGAGGGAGGGAGGAGCAAGGGAGGGCGGGAGGAGGGAGGGAGGGACCAGACCTCCGATGTCTGAGCTTCTTTGGTACAGGGGTGCCTGGAGCTCTGGACCGCTTCCCTCGGGACCTCTCTGTCATCACGGATCGTTTTGTTGACGGTCCCCAGGCCTGTCGGGGGCACCCGGACGCCGAAGCGACGAAACACCTCCGTCCTGGTTTTCGTTCGGTGCGCTGGAGATCTGGGGCTGCCCCCCCCCCTGGGGGCCAGCGGCCTTCCCCCCTCTCGGCAGGGCCGCCCCCTCCTTCCTGCGTCGGTCCCGTCGGAGGTTCTTCGAGTCCTGCGCCGCGACGGCCTCGGTGGACGATCCGTGCCGCCGCCCCGCAGGAGGAGGAGGAGGAGGAGGAGGAGGAGGAGGAGGAGGAGGTGGAGGAGGAGGAGGGAGGAGGAGGAGCAAGAGGAGGAGGGAGGAGGGAGGAGGAGGAGGAGGAGGAGGAGGAGGACAAGGAGAAGGATTGATTGATCACTTCGCTACGCGGGAGGCTAGGACCGGAGGGGGGGGAGGGAGGCGACAGTCGAGTCGACTCGGAACCAGATGGCCAGACGCTTCCACAGGAGTGAAAGACCACCCACCCTGGCAGACACGAAAACCGCTTACCCCCGCTACACAGTCGAGATCTGACAAATCCCCACCAGAACGAAGACATTGGCACCAGCTCCTGAACAGAGACAACCCACGGTTGTGGTTTGTGGTGCGGGGTGGAGGAGGATGCTGAGGAAGAGCAGGAGGGGGAAGGAGGGAGGGCGTAGGAGGAGGCGGAGGTGGGCTGCCAGTGGTGCGGAGAAGTGGTGCTTCAGTATCGGCGCGATTGAGGACACGATCAGATAAGCGGAGAGCGAAGCACGAGCCGTTTGGGCCGCAGGAGTGGGAGCAGGATGCTGATGATGATGATGATGACGATGATGGTGATGATGGTGATGTTAATGGTGATGGTGATGATGATGGTGATGGTGATGATGATAATGAGGATGATGTTGAGGATGAGGATGAGGATGAGGAGGAGGATGCTGATCATGATGACGATGATGATGGTGAGGGTGATGGTGATGATGTTGTCAATGATCATGCTGATGCTGATCATGCTGCTGCTGATGGTGACGATGATCATTTTGATGATGACGATGCCGATGAAGAGGTTGATGATGATGCTGATGAGGATGTAGATGACGACGAGGAGGAGTATGAGGAGGTTGATGACGATAATGCTGATGAGGACGCTGATGACGATGACGATGACGATGAAGATGAAGATGACAATGAAGATGGACACGATGCTGACAAGGATGATGCAGATGTCGCTGATGATGACGATGGTGATGAGGATGAGGATGGTGATGATGACGATGATGACGATGCTGATCATGCTGATGATGAGGATGGGGATGAGGTGATGATGATGATGATGATGAACATGATGATGATGATGATGCTGATGATGATGATGATGATGAGGATGATGATGATGATGATGATGCTGTTGTTGACGGCGATGAAGACGACGACGGTGGCGACGACGATTATGACGAGGATGGTGATGATGATGCTGATGATGCTGATGATGCTGATTACGATGATGATTGGTGAGATGATGCTCACTATGACGGTGACGAAGAAGTTTTGTTTGTTGATTGGTTGGACAATGTTCGAAACACATGCGTCGCCGTGAATATCAGAGGGCGTCTCGCACATCGCAAGCGACATCCCGAGGAAGTTCATTCAGTCATTTCTCCACTATCGTCTCTCATTTCGCCTGCCGCCCACAGCGCTCGTCAACAGCACGAATTAGTTGTGCTACCACGCAAATCTGCTGCGCTCATCAGGATCAGGATGATCAGTATCAGGATCATCGCGACAACGATAGTGGTAATATTAATGATGATGAGGATGATGATGCTGATGATGATGATTATGATGATGATGCTGCTGCTAATGCTGATGCTGACGCTGGTGCTGGTACTGACGCTGGTGTTGATGATTGCTTACTACTGATGAGGATGGGGATGAGGTGATGATGATGATGATGATGATGATGATGATGATGATGATGATGATGATGATGATGATGCTGATGATGATGATGATGATGAGGATGATGATGATGATGATGATGATGCTGTTGTTGACGACGATGAAGGCGACGACGGTGGCGACGACGATTATGACGATGATGGTGATGATGATGCTGATGATGCTGATGATGCTGATTACGATGATGATTGGTGAGATGATGCTCACTATGACGGTGACGAAGAAGTTTTGTTTGTTGATTGGTTGGACAATGTTCGAAACACATGCGTCGCCGTGAATATCAGAGGGCGTCTCGCACATCGCAAGCGACATCCCGAGGAAGTTCATTCAGTCATTTCTCCACTATCGTCTCTCATTTCGCCTGCCGCCCACAGCGCTCGTCAACAGCACGAATTAGTTGTGCTACCACGCAAATCTGCTGCGCTCATCAGGATCAGGATGATCAGTATCAGGATCATCGCGACAACGATAGTGGTAATATTAATGATGATGAGGATGATGATGCTGATGATGATGCTGATTATGATGATGATGCTGCTGCTAATGCTGATGCTGATGCTGGTGCTGGTACTGACGCTGGTGTTGATGATTGCTTACTACTGATGAGGATGCTGAGGACAACAGCAATGACTGCAACGATGAATATTATAAGGTCGTTGTTGGTGATGACTGTGACGTTGGCGATGATGATGATGCTGATGATGATGTGATGATGATGGTGATGGTAATGGTGATGGTGATGATGACGGATGATGGATGATGATGGTGATGAGGATGATGGTGATAATGATGACGATGGTGATGACGATTATGCTGTTGCAACTGGTCATGGCCTGGTCATGATCACGACACTCATTACGAACAGGATGATGATGAGGAGGAGGAGGGCGATGATGACAATGGTGATGGTGATGGCGATGATGCTGTCGATCATGATGGTGAGGATGAGGATGATGATGATGCTGCTAATGTCGATGGTGGTGGTGGTGATGATGATGATGATGGTCATGGTGATGGTGGCGATGAGGATGAGAATGAGGATGAAGATACATAATGTTGATAATGATGGTGAGGATGATGATGATGATGATGATGATTCATATGATGATGCTGTTATTGATGCTGATGATGATGATGATGATGATGATGATGATGATGATGATGATGATGATGATGATGATGATGCTGATGATATCCCGCAGGTTTTGAGCAGGGGCGCGGAAGTGCCGCAGGCACAAACCCCACTGCGGCTGGCACGACCAGTCGCCGCTCGCAAAGGGCCGGCCGACACCATCCTGACCACCCTCTTGGAAGGCATCGTCGAGATGTGGATCATTGAGCCGAGCTCGAGAGGTGCTGCTTCTCAGGGCACAGGCCTCGGAAAAAAGTAGCGAACACTCATGCCGCATTCATCTGTGAACGCCTCCCCCTCCCCCCAATGTTCAAAGTTGGCGGTGGGTCTGATGAGCTGCACCTCAGCCGCAGTCTCCCTCGCGCGTGCCAACCTTGAGTTTGGGGGGCAGAGGGGGTGTTCACTAATTTCAGAAGGGAAATGAAACACACAGACACAATTAATCCTCGATTCCCCAGAAAATATGGGAAAATATGGGGAGTGGGGGGGAAGACAGAAACCCAGAACATATGGGAAGATATGGGGAATATCTTTATCTGTGTGTATTTATTTGTGTTTCCTGGGGCCCCTTCATAATTGTTTCCCTCTGCCGCATCAAGGCGCGCGACCACATCTCGGCACACGCTGGCGGCCTGCCAGAGCACAGCCGAGCAGGGCCCGTGGCCGAAACGCATCGGGCAAAGGTGTCGGGGGATGGTTCAGGCTGCGGCCCCCCCTCCTCTCCTCCTCCTCCTCCTCCTCCTCCTCCTCTCCTCCTCTCCTCCTGTCCTCTCCTCCTCCTCCCTCCTCCCTCCTCCCTCCTCCCTCCTCCCTCCTCCCTCCTCCTCCCCCCCCCCACACTGCCTCCTGCGCGGAGAGGAGCGATGCATCCGCCACGGCGTCGACAGAGTTTGCCGCCGCTGCCCTCTGGGAGTCCGGTTGCCGACGCGCGTTTAGTGTGCTGCATGGCGCACTTCACTGGACGGAGGGCGGGGCACTGCCAGAGGGGCGCCCGCGCCAGCACGGCGTACGACCTCGCATCGCGCGCCACGAGGCACACAACGCGGGCGGCGCCCGCAGGCGCAGGATGCGGCCGCGGCCCCAGCCACTCACAGCATCCGAGTCGGATTCCCTCGCGCCAGCTCCCGTCAAGCAGGGCCGAATGGCGTGAGCGAGAGCACGCCGCTCGCTGATCAGGCTGCCGCGCGGAGGGCGCGTGCCTTAAAAAGAAGGGGGGAAACGCGGGCACGCGCCCCGGTACGCCCACGAAGGACACGAGATTTTTGGAGGCGGGGCCGTCCGACCATCACGTTCACATCGCGCCCCCCAACGCCCCTCTCGGACCTCCCAGGACGAGCACGGAGGAGAGGAGCGGCAGGCGGCCGCCCGACTTCTCGAATCGATTGTGCCCTCGGCCAAGTCGCGAAAGAATTCTCCTCCCAAGGCAGCGCGCAAGTGCAGCTGCGCAGTGCCATGCGCCCAAGACTGGCCCCGGCGCTCCGACGCGGCACTGGGTCGCGGCGTGGCGATCGTTGCTTCGTTGGGATGGATGTGTTGGCCGCGGCGTCACTCTTCCAGCACCGCGCGCGCTCTCTCGCGTGGCTGCGGTGCACCTTGCACCCGTGCAGACCTCCTCTGTGCCGCCGCGCTGAACCGAGGCTGTGTCTATGCGCCGCCCGCCCAGCAAGAGGCCGCCGCCGCGGCCCTCGCTCCGGCACCCGCCAGCGAGAGCCACGACCACGGCGGCCCCACCAGGCGCGGGCTGGGCCGCCGCCGCCCCGCAGCCTGCACTCGCTCGGCCGTCCGTTGGGCCCCGCGCGGTGCTGGAGCGGGCCGGCTCGCTCCCGAGCGCCGTGCCCCAGGCCGCCCCCCGCCCCTCAGTACGCCGCGCCCGCGGCCCGAGGCGCGGCGGCCCGACACGGCCGGCGCCCTCCGCGGCCCCCTCTCTGGCGCCGCTCCCGGGCCCCCCGCCCCCCGGGCCGCCGGGGCCGCCCTCCGCCCCGCGGCCGCGCCCGCGGCCCGCAGCGCGCGGGCCCGACGCGGCCGACGCCCTCCGGGCCGCTCTGGCGCCGCCGGGGGTGGCTCGGCGCCGCGGCCGCCCCCCACCGCGCGTGCAGCAGTGCTGCGGCGTCTGTTCGGAGGCACACCCTGCCGATAAGGGGGCCGCGCGCGAACCCTACCCCTAGTTACCCCCCGCGCTTTCTGGGGGGGGAGGGGTGGGCTTCCCTTCGCTCGGGAGCTCTCGAGCGAGTTGAGCCCCACCCCTCCCCCCCAGAACTCGTGGGGGGTGGGGGCAGGGCTCGCCTGTGGCCCCGTTGCCGAGCGGCAGGGCTCCGCAGGGGCCGCGGGCCGCGTGGCCCTCGGGCTGCTGAGCGCCGCCTCCTCGCGGCGGCGGGCGGGCCGCTGCCGCCCGCGGCGCGTGCCCTGCCCTCTGCGCCCTCCACGGGCGCCCCGCCGCGGCTCGTCGTCGGGCGAGGGAGGTGGCCACGCGGAGGGCCCTCGCGGTGGCCCACTCCGCAGGCCGAGAGGTTGACACCAACACCACTGTCGGCGGTGTGCCTCCACCGAGGGGAGAAGATCGAGGATGATCTTCCCCCTGTGGAGGCAGCCCCCCGTGTCGGTGTTGGTGCCGACTTCCAGGCCTCCAACAACTCCTGGCGCCGACGGCGGGGAGGACGGCCCGCCTCGCGGCCACCCGGGCCGCGAGGCGGGGCCCTCTCGGCGCTTGCAGCGCGCACCCGGCCTGCCGCTGCTGCTGTCGGGGGGTCAGGCACTGCTTGCGAGGCGAGCAGCGGCTCCGCACAGAGTTCCGAGCTGTTGTTCCGAAAGGAGCAGCGGGACGAAGGTGAGCGGCAACTGGCCCTGCAAGCCGTTGCGGCGGATGCGAATGCAACCATTCTCCAGCTGCTCCTGCTGCTGTGGTCCTCCTTGCCCTCCTTGTACTCCCCCTGTGTTCCACCCTAGTCGTCGGCGTCGTCGTCGTCGTCGTCGTCGTCGTCGTCGGCGTCGGCGTCGTCGTCGGCGCCGTCGTCGTCGTCGTCGCCGTCGTCGTCGTCGTGGTGGTGGTGGTGGTTGTGGTCGTCTTTGTCGTCGTGCTCCTCTTGTTCCTGTCTCCCCTGCATATATACATCTATATATATATGTATATATACAAGTGGCACGTGTGTGCCCAGGCTCATACAACAAGCTGAAGGGGCGTTTGAAGCAGGAGTGACATGCAACAGCGAAGTCGCACTCGAGCGCAAGTGGGGTTGCCACACCTTGCGATGTGTGTACCAGGGCCCCCCAGGAAGCCTCAGGAGGCCCGACTTGGATACCAGAAGAGGCTCCAGGAGGCCCCAGGATTGTGAGTGTTGTGTGTGTGATGTGTGCTTTGTGTGGTGCGTGCTTTTTGTGTGTTGTCGGTGTTGTGTGTGTGTATGTTATGTTTGTCTAGCGTGTGATGTGTTGGGCGTGATTTGTGTCTCTGTGTGTGCATGTAGTTCTGAAGCCCCAGGAGGCCCCAGGAGGCCCCAGGCGGCCTCAGCAGGCCCAGGAGAACTCCAGGAGGCTCCGAGGCGGGGTCTGGGGTACCAGAAGGTCCAGAAAGCCCCAGGAGGCCCCAGGAGGTTCCAGGAGGCCCCCAGGAGGCTCCGAGGAGGGGTCTGGGGCTCGATTTTGGGAGGATGTCTCAGGCGAAGCCGCCATTCTCTGAGAATCGGGGTCAACATTATTGAAATTACCATGTGTTTTTGAAGGTTTTATGTTAAACTGTTGAAATTCCCATGTGTTTTTGGACCCTGACGTCACGATCTGCGTGAGGGGTGCCACCGATTTTCAGAATTTCGAGGATGTCCCGAGCGAAACGGCCAGAAACATCGCGAACGACGTGCGCATTAATCGCCTCTGAGCTCTACTCCCTCGGAGAGGTGCGTATGAGAATATATATATATATATATATATATACATACCTGGGGGGCAGGCCCGGGGCCCACAAACAGGTGCCCCGACCCCCCATGGCAGGACGGGGCGGCCGGGGAGGTCCAAAATAGTCCAGGAGGGCCTCCAGAGGCTTCCCAGACGGCCCAAGCGGGCCCCGAGCCGCCGCAGGACCGCGCCTGGACGGCCCGAGAGGCCCCCCCAAGGCACTCCACGACGCTTCAAGACGCCTCCCCAGAGCGCTTCAAGTGGCCGAAATCGTCAATTTTACGAGGGTTTGGGAGAGATTTTGGCCTGCCAGCCTTGTCGGCTGTCCGACGTTCCAAGCCGGCCCAACAGGCCCCCAAGAGCGCCTCAAGACGGCCCAAGAGGGCCCCCAGACGGCCCCAGAGGCGCCCAAGTCAGCCCAAGAGAGCCCCAACACGGCCCCAAGATGCGCCCAAGGGGGGGGACCACGACTCCAAAATTCGACCCTCCCGCGGAGGCCCCAAGGAGCCCCCAAGAGGCCCAGGAGGCCCCCGAGAGGCACCCAGGAGACCCAAACGAGGCCTCAAGAGGCCACAAAACAGCCCCGAGGAGGCCCCACAATGGTCCCAAAACGGCTACCGAGAAGCTGCGAAACTGCCTTCACGACGTCCCCGACAGGCCAACCACGAGATCTAAACCAACACACATGAGGCCTCTGACCCACCACTTAGGGCACCCGCCGCCCGCCCGCCGTCCGCGTAGCACGCAACACTCTGTAATCAACTGCTTCAGTCACCAAGACAACACCCTGTAGTCAACAGCCCCCGTCTTCAAGGCAACACCCAGTACTCAACAAGCTCCCGCTGCAAGAGAGCACCTTTACAGAAATCATTCACATCCCGACCCGCCCGCCCGCCGCTCGCCCGGCCGCTTGCCCGCCTTCCGCGTAGCACGCGCCACCCTGCACTCAACAGCCTCCGCCTCCAAGACAACACCTAGCATTCAACAGCCCCCAGGGCTCCCGGGACTGCCTGGGCCCGCTCCCAAACACGCCACGACACGCCAAGAGGGCCCTAAAGATTGCCAAGACAGCCCCAAGAGGCCCCGGACAGGCCGAAGATAGCCTCAGGACGGCCGACGCCGCCGCCAAAACGCCCCAAGAGCGCCTCCAGAGGCCCTCCGTAGCCATTTTGGCTCAAGCGTGCCTGGCTCGGTGCCCCGCCACCAAGTCGCGATCAGGCAAGAGCGCCGGCCCGTCCCCGCCCAGTGCACACCGCAGCGGGTGTCGCCCGGTGCGCAGCAGCCCGCCAGAGCCAGCCATGCCGCGGTCCGGGCTCCTCCTCACAGCCGCCGCGCTCGCCGCAGCCTCCGCCGCGCCCTTCTCGGTCGACGAGTGCCCTCTCTCAGACTCCTGCGGCGAGGGCGGCGCCGCTTTAGGGTGTGATGGTGTTGGCTCGTGCCGCGAGCTCATGAGCAGCGCCCTCGCGGCGCTCGCGAAGGGAGAGTCCTCGCCGGCCCAGGACACATGCGCTCACGCGTTCAAGGCGATGACGGGCCAGTGCGCGACGTGCAGCGGATGCACGCCAGAGGCAAAGCAGGAGTACGACTGCGATTCGGCTACTCCAGCGGCGTGGTCAACGCAGAAGAAGAAGGCCTGCTGCGAGACGGTTCAGAAGGGCTGCGAGGCAACGCAGGAGTACGACTGCGATTCGGCTACTCCAGCGGCGTGGTCAACGGCGAAGAAGCAGGCCTGCTGCGAGACGGTTCAGAAGGGCTGCGAGGCAACGCAGGAGTACGACTGCGATTCGGCTACTCCAGCGGCGTGGTCAACGGAGAAGAAGAAGGCCTGCTGCGAGACGGTTCAGAAGGGCTGCGAGGAGCCGAGCAGGCTCTTCGCCAATGGCCGCCTCCCGGCGTGGAGGGGCGCCCCTCTCGGGGCCGTGGCGGCCGCGGCGCTCGCGGCCGCAGTGTCTGCGGTTCTCGCGGGCGCCGCGGCCGCGCTGCGCTGCGCGCGCGGTGCGCCGCGGGGCGCCGCGGCGGTGCTGTTGGAGACCTCCGAGGAGGGCGCCGCGTCGACGGAGGGCGCGCCGGCCCGCGGCGGCGAGTGAGCGCTGGGGCGCCGACCGTGCGGCCGCAGCTGCCTCGGGCCTGGGCGGCTCCTGGTCGTCGGCACGACCGTGGTCGACTTCGACGCGAGCGCCGCGCCGGCGCCCGCGCCGCCCCGAGCCAAGGGGGTCTCCAGCGGCGGTGCGGAGGCTCGCGGCGCGCGTGCCGCCGGCGGGCGGCCCCTCGCGGGAGCCGAGAGGGCGCGGTGGTGGGGGCGCACCAGCCCGCGGCGCGCACGAGGGGGGCATGCAGGAGGAGGAGCATGGGGATAGGGATGTCTAAACGATGGCCAGTGTGCCTCATCTTGTTCCTCCTCGAGCCGACGGTCGGGGAGCGCGTTGTCAGCGCGCGCCCCGCGGGCTCGGAGGCTCAAGGCTTCGGGGTGCAGGTCGGACTCCTCTCTAATCTCCGACACCGTCCAGCTTCCCGTACTTACGGGAATTCGCAATTTTGTTTTGATGGATCGTGCCCGATGTTTCCAACCGGCACGACCTCCACTCAAAGTTGACTTCGGCCCTCGCAGCTGGGGGGGCAGAAGCTCGGCGCTCCTCCTCTCCCTCCGACTCCCCCTCCCCCATACCCTTCCGCCCTCTTAGAAGGCTACTCCCCTCCCTCAACCCTTTTGTGCGCGCCGCCAAGAGAGCCCACGGGAGGATCCACGAGAAGAAGCAATACACCAGCCCGACCCCCCTGGGGCAATGATCACCTCCAGGGGCAGCTGTGTGTACAAGCTTCGCCTTCCAATGGGCAACTTTGATATTTTTGTCTAGCCGTGGTCGGCAAAGTGTCTCGATGCTTAAGGCAGCACCGACCGGCCGTGTCCAGGGCACGTTTGTGGCCAACCTGCTCCTGGGCGTCGCCTGTGCCCCCCCCAGCCGCAGTGAATTCGCGCTGATGGCGCTGCTCTGCGCCCCAGTCAGCCTTTTGGGGTGCAGTCGCCAGATCCGTCGTCTCAGACGTCGCCGTCGAGGGACCTTCGTCGAGGCGGCTGCGGGCAAAGTGTGTAGTCGCGCATGGGCAGCACGGCAGGATCCGATCGCTTCCTCCCTTTGGGTATCCAAGCGCGGGCGGCCCTCGCGTCGCTCAAAAAAAAAGAAAAAAAAAAAAAAGCGCCTCCAGAGGCCCCTCCAAAGGGCCCCGCATCTTTGCGCTCTCGAATGTTCCGCCTCCCCACGGTTCCGGACGGCGTCAGAGGCCTTTCAGATCGCTCCAAGACGGCCCAAGAGGCTCCCAAGGAAAGACCAGAGACGGCCCAGGAGGCTCCCCAGATAATTCAAGAGGGCCTCGAGAGCGCCCCAAGAGCGACCCAAGAGGGCCCGAAGAGCGCGACATTTCAAGGTCTCCGGCCTGAGAGGCTCCTAGGACGCCCCCGGAGGCCAAGAGGCTCCCAAGAAGCCCCGTGAGGCTCCCAAGAGGCCCCCCGGAAGCCCCAATAAGCCCCCAAGGGCCCCCCAGGGAAGCCCCCTGCGGGCCCCCAAGAGACCTCGGTAAATCGTATTTCCCAGAGCTTTCCGGGAACATGATTCCTTCGGCTTCCGCCCGCCGCCCCAACCATGTTTCCAATAGGCTTGCCGACAAGGCCAAAAAAGGCCCCTCGGTAAGCCCCCAGAGCCCCCCTCTTAAGAGAGCCGAACAAGTCATGCTCCCGGAAAGCTTCCCGGGAACATGATTCTCGGGTTGCCGCTCTCTCCCCAAAACATGTTTGCAAACGCCCGCCAGGATAAAAAAAACGAGAGTCCCAAGCAGCGCTACTTGCCGCCACGCTCGGGAAGGCGTCAGGCCCCGAAGCCTCCGGAGGCGCCCAACGACACCCCAACAAGTCATGTTCCCAGGAAGTCTTACGGCCAGTGCCGCCGACGTTGAAGGAGGACGGTCCAGGACACCCAGAAATCTTCCAAGCAGGCTTCCAAGAGGGCGCCGAGACAGCCCAGGGCTTCCCCAGACGGCCCAAGAAAGCCCCAACACAGACGTAAAGGGTCGCAAGAGGCCCCCAAGAGGCCCCGAAACGAGGACATATCGTTCGAACACGCCCAAGATGGCCTCCGGACGGCCCACAAGGCTTCAAACACAGCCCAAAGGGACGCCCAAATCATTGATTGTCCGTAGGTTTTTGATGGATTTCAGACACCCAATGTCGCCCCAACAGGCCCCCACGAGGGCGCCGAGACGGCCCAGGGACGCCCTGCCGCGGGCACGAGGCGGGGCCCGGGACGGGGCCCTCGCACCGGGGTCCCGGGGGCCCTGCCGTGGCGCTGGGGGCCTTGTAAAGTCGCCCGAAGGCGGCCCTGGCGTTTCCAGACAACGAAAACGACCAATGACCGCCTGAGATCACCCCAGAATTGGTCCCTGATTGTCCAAGAGGCCTCCAAGACGTCCCAAGAGGTCTCCAAGATGGCTCCCAAGGAGCCCCAGGAGGCACAACTAATTTGTTTTCTTTTGGTTTTTGATCGATTTTCGAGTTCTCGCCTTTTGAGTTTCCTGACGCTCCACGACGGCCCAAGAGGCTTCAATTTCCGCTCCAAGGCATCCCCAGAGGCCTCGAATACGGTCACAAGACAGCCCACGGGGGTCCCAAGACGGCGTCAGAGGCGCCCAAGGCGGCCCCAGAGGGCCCCAAGGCGGCCCCAAGATGTAGCCAAGGCTTCCACCCCGAGAGGCTCTCAGGAGGCCCCGAGAAGCCCCCAACAGGCTCCAAGAGGCCCCAAGAAGCCCCCCGGGGGGCCGAAGGGTATCCAAGAGGCCTCCCACGAAGGCCCCAAGAGGCAAAAATCCATGTCCTGCCACAGTTTTTTGATTGTTTTCAGCCTTTTTGGCGTCCTGACGCTCCAAGACGGCCCAAAGGCCTCCAAGACCAATCCAAGATAGCCCAAGAGGTTCCAACAGGGCCCAAGACAGCCCGAGAGGGCACCAATACGGCCCCAAGGGGGGCCCAAGAGGGGTAAGACGAACCGAAAATCCGAGCCTTCCACCCCGAGAGGCTTTCAGGAAGCCCCAGAGGCCCCCAAATGGAACCCAAGAGGCCCTCAAAAAGCTCCCCAGAAGGCCGAAGAGATTCCAAGAAGCACTGTGATCCCATCGGCTCTTGATGGATTTTAGAGTTCCCAGCCTTTTAGTATTCCCACGCTCCAAGACAGCCCAAATGGCCCCCAAGGCCGCTCCAAGATAGCCGAAGAGGCCTCCAAGAGGGCCCCAAGACGGCCCACGAGGGCCCCAAGACGGTGCTCGAGGCGCCCAAGATGGCCCGAGAGGGCCCCAAGAGGGCCCCAAGAGAGCCCCAAGAAGGGGAACGCGAACCCAACAGCAGAGCTTTCCGCCCAGAGAGGCCCACAGGAGGCCCCAAGAGTCCCCAAGTGGTCCGACGAGGCCCCCCAAAGCCCCCCACCAGGCCCCAAAAGGCTCACAGGAGACGTACACGGGGCCCCAAGATAGCCGAACAGTGCTCTCGATGCATCAAAATTGCTTCAAGGAGGCCTCTGGAGGCTTCCGGATTGCCCCAATGTGGCCTCAAGCCGGGCCTCCACGCAGCCAAGACGGCCAATTGACTGCTTCAGACTGCAGAACATCACTTTCCGACTGCCCGGAGAACCCTGACGATGCCCCCAAGGGACCCCAAGAAACCCCAAGATGCCCCCCCGAGAAGCACCCAAGAGGTGCCTGCAACAGCCAACTGAGGAAACACGGAGAACCCCCCAGAAGCCCTTCAGATGCCCCCACGAAGACCCAAGAGGTTCCCAAGAGCGAAGCGCGCGCGATGGCTCTAGTATATTTTTGTGTATATATACACACATATATCTATATATGCTGGGCGTGTGGCCCCCGCCGCCCTGGTCGTTTTGGCTTCCCCAGGCAACTCTCATCAAGCGGTTATCAGCGTGCGTGTCTGTTTGTCCTGTTGCTAACGCTTGGATTATTGTGGATGTCGGCGGTTGCGAAGTTTCAAGTGGTCCCTGAGTGTTCGGGCGGGCGTAGACGCGCGCTTCATTGTTTTCCGACCTGCGCCTTGTCGCCGCGCGCAGGGCCGCGACGCCAAAAACTGAGTTTGCACAGCTTCCTGGTTTTGCACGGCGTGCTGGTGTTCGCCTTCCTCGACATGTTTTGCACTGCTTTTTGTCCTGGACGGCGTGTCGGCGCTGGAGCTGGTCTTTTTTTTTCCTTGCCGCCTGAACTCGAGCCGCCTGCTCTTTTTTTTCCGCGTCTCCTCGTGATCATTCAGGAGGGGAAAAAACACACAGACACAATTAATCGTCGACTCCCCAGAAAATATGGGAAAATATGGGAAGTGGTGGGGAAGACAAAAACCCAGAAAATGTAGGAAAATATGGGGATTTTTTTATTTGTGTGTATTTATTTGTGTGTCCCAGGGCCCCTTCAATCATTTTGTCGGACGTTTGGCGAGGAGCCCATCGCTGCCTCAGCGTGACCTTTCCTCGCGCCTCGTCCTTAGGAGCGCTTGCTATTTTGGCTGCACAGGTCGACCGTGGGAGCTGAACGAATGCTTCCGCGCGCGCGCACGCGCGCGCTCGCGGGCGCGCGCGCGCGCGCGCGCGTGTGTGTGTGTGTGTGTGTGTGTGTGTGTGTGTGAGTGTGTGTCTATCCGTAGCCCTAGCCGAGGGGGGCCGCAGCGGCGGGCGCCGCGGGGCCGGCAGTCGCTTGACCGCTGTCTTGCTCGGGGTGGGGCTTTGAAGGAGTTCCCTCCCGTCACGGCCCCCCCGCCCCGCGCCCATGGGGTCCCGCTCTGCACTGCGCCGCCACTGGCGGCGTGCGGCTGCCGGCAGGGCCGCTGCCGCGAGTGCCGGCGCCGCGCCGCCTGGCCTCGCGGCTGGTCGCCGAGGCACTCCGTTGGCGCTTGCGATGCCGTCGCCTGCTCTCCCGGCGGCCGCCGCTTGCGGCGCGGCTACGGACGCGGCGGCCCCAACCGCTGCTGCTGGCCTTGGGGCCGCCTTCGCGCCTGGCGACGCCGGCACTGCGGGCGCCGCGGCTGCCGCCGCGGGTGCCGCGCCCCACGCTGCTGGCGCGGGCGATGGCGCCGCGGCCTCGGCGCTTGCTCGCGCCGCCTCGGGGGCTGCCGACGCTGCCGCCGTCGCCGCTGCCGCCGCCGTTGCCGCTTCGCGCGCTGCTGCCAGGGGGCTCTCCAGCGACGCTGGCGCGGTGCCGTCGGTTGCGGCTGGTGGCCGCCATGCTCAGACGCGGTTGCCGCCTGCGCCGATGCCGCGGCCGCCTGCGAGGCGGCGGCTGCTTTCGGCCTCTGCAGAGCCGCCGCGGCTCTGGCGTGCTCTGCCGGGCTTGCCGCGCCGGCGGCCGGCGCCGCTGCCGTTGCGGCACCGGCCGCGGACGGCGGCAACGTGCTGCAGGCTGGGCGCTGCAGTCGCTGCCCGCCTGGGCGCTGCAGCTGCTGTTGCTGGCCCCGCCACGGCCGCCGCCGCCGCCGCCGCGGCCGCCCCTCGCGGGCCGCTGGCCATAGCCGCCGCGGCCGGCATCGCGGCCGCCGCGGCTCTCCTCCCCACTGACGGTGGGCCAGCCGTGGCCGCTGCCGCCGCCGCGGCTGCCGCTGCCGCGGCTGCCGGTGCCGCTGCCGCTGCCGCTGCCGCTGCTGGCTCCCTGCGGGCGGCGGCGGCGGACGGCGTGCTGGCTGGCGTCGCAGCGGCCACTGGATAGCCGCCGGCAGGCTCAGGAGACGCTGGGTGTGAAGCTGGGGCCCACCTGCAGCGCCCCGATCAGTGTGTGTGTGTGTGTGTGTGTGTGTGTGTGTGTGTGTGTGTTTGTGTGTATGTGTGTGTGTGTGTGTGTTTGTGTGTGAGAGAGAGAGAGAGAGAGAGAGAGAGAGAGAGAGAGAAGGACTGGCTGGCGCGGTGGCAGCCGACCCTGGCGCTGCTCCGAGAGACTTCGGGAGTGGAGCTGAAGCCCGCCATCGTGTGCCCCAGCACCCCGATCAGCGCTTGCGAGAAGGACAGGCAGGAGCAGTGGCAGCCGGCCCTTGCGCCGCTCAGCACAACGCTGGGGATGAAGGTGCTGCTGCAAGCGACAGTGGCGGCGACGCGCGACGGGCGCGCACCTTCCGCCAGACCCCCGCCGACCATGGCTCGCGCGCCCGCTGCGGAGGCGCCGTCTTGGGACAGACCTCGCTTCGCCCGGCTATTGCAGGGCGACGTCTGGCTGATGGTCGAGGTGGCGAGGGCGGGCGCCCCGTGGGCTCGGGAACGCTGGGATCTTCGCATGGGACCACAGGAGAAGTTGGAAGGGGCGGGCTCGCCCAGAAATGGTCCCGCGGCAGGTCGTGAACGAGATTTCGTGCTCCCTGCCGATGCCCGGGTGGCAGCGGGCTGGCGCGCGCGCCCCGCCGGCCTCGGCTGGCCCGACTGACAGGCCCAGTGCAGCCGAGGGCCCTGGTCCGGCCGGGCACCGGGCTGGCCTGGAGGGCGCCTCCAAGGGGCAGTTTGTGGCCCGTGTCAAGCGGCTGGGGGGCCAGAGCAGGATCGCTTGAAGGGCTCGCTGCGCGCTGTTTCGCGGCAGCGCGCTGGGCCCAGGGTGGAACGATGCGAGCTTCCTGCGCGGTTTCTTCGCGGCGCGCGAGTAGGGCGCCGTGGTGCAGTCTCCCGAGTCGGGCGGTCATGCGTTGGGCGCGCAGTGATCTGTGGCTGGTTGCCCTGTCGCACACCGATTAGTCGCCCCTGTCGCGCGCCGATGGGTCGCCTGTTGTGCTCCGTTGCTCACCGAGTATTCGCTCTGGGCGGCGCCGCTCAGTTGCCTTGGCTTCCGCTGCCTTCCACTCGCCTTTGCTTCCGCCACTTCCGGCCTGTCGGAGGTGGCGCGGGGGTCCTGCCGCTTTCCGGCGGCGCTCCCCCCCGCGGCGGTTCGGGGCCCCATTCAGTGCGGTAAATGACGGGGCGCGGGCGAAAGTGCATGCTTCCGCCTCGACGTCGAAGCAGTTTTTTTCAGTAGAGCTGGCCGCGTGGTGCTTTTTCACGCGCGGGGCGCCCGGGTCAAAAATACAGCTGTCGGCGTGGGGCGAAATTTTTGGATTGCGCATGTCGGGCACGCATCGGTGGCCGATGCGTCGGGGTCGCCGCCGTTTTTGTCCTTCTTGTCTTCCCCGTCGGAGGTGGCGCGGCGTTCCCGCCGCTCTTTGGCAGCGCACCCCCCCGCGGCGGTTCGTCGGTCCCTCCTCCTCTTTTTGGGTCGCGGGGTTCGTTCGGTCGTCGCCGTCGTCGGTCGTGCGTTCGCCGCGTCCTGGGATCTCCGGCCGTCGTTTCTCCGGGCCCCCCTCCTGCCTCTGCCCCTGCTTGCCCCCTCCCTCTCCGCCTCCTTCCGGGTCGTCCCCGCCGCGGGGGGTTGGGCTTCTCCCGGTTGGGCGCCCTGGCGGTCATTGCTGGCGCGGTGCGCTGTTTTGCTTCTCTCTCTCTCTCTCTCTCCCTCTCTCTCGCTCTCTGCGTCGGCCCTTCCTGGTGTAGCGCGGCCCCCTTGGGCTCTGCGTGCCGCTGAGGGGCCACCCTTGCGGGGGTCTCTGGGGGCGGTCTCGCCTGAGGTGCCCAACCGCCCCCTGCCCAGCTGTCGCCTCCTGTCTGTTTGTTCGGGATTTTGTGTACGAAAAACCACATACACACATACATACACACACACACATATATATATATATATATATACATCTAGCCTTAAGTCGGGCCTGTCCTCCTACAGGGGGATCGTCGACGAAAAATAAAGAATACTCCAAACTCCAGAATGGTCAAACAAACATCAAAAAACAGTCCCCAGACTGTCTCTGGACTTTTCTTGGAGCACTCTCCCCCTGTAGAGGGACGGGCCCGACTTGCATCCAGCCCTTGCTCTGGCGGTTTTTTGTCTCTGGCGCCTGGAGGGCGCTCGCCCGGCGCCCTCACTCTCAGGGCCGTCCGTGCTGCTCGCGACTGGACGGGTTTCCCTTGTCTGCGTGGGCATGTGTCAGGGGGAAAAGAAATACACAGACACAATTAATCGTCGACTCCCAGGAAAATATGCAAAAATATGGGAAGTGGGGGGGAAGACAAAAACCCAGAAAATATGTGAAAATATGGGGAATATTTTTATTTGTGTGTATTTATTTGTGTGTCCTAATTTCCCTTTAATGTGGTGCGTCTCTTCTCGCTCGGCGTGAGCTCCACCGCCGGGCCTCCCCCGCGGGCCTCGCGGCGCCTGCCGCGCCTTGTCCGGGGCGTCCTGGTCGACTTGGTATCGCCTCAGACGCTGGTGCGTGCAGTCCACCTCGCGTCCTTCGTTGTGCCTTTCGAGCGGTACCCTTCCAATGTACACCTTAGGCGATGCTTAAGAAAACTTGAATTTTCGGCCAGAGTCTCGATTATTCTTAACGTTTCAATGTAAATCCTAAGATTTGAACGGAAATGTAGGGTTTTTATTCAAGTTCTGAGACTATGAATTTCTTAACCCATGATTTCTTAAGCATTTTGCAGGGTGTATTCTGGTCGGCGCCTCTATTGCAGATTGTTTTTTTGGCCAGCCTGGGCGCGTCAGCGGCACTGGCCACCTCTGGTGGCGTGGCTGCACACCGCAGATTTTATGACATGGTTTTATTCGATTGGTTTCGGTTTCGCATGTGCGGTATTTATCGTGCTGCGCGCTCTGTCACCACCAATCCAGGTTTATCGTTTCACCGATTTATGCTTTTCCATCGTGCGTCGCCGGTTCGTAGGTTAGCCCCCAATCCATCAATTTCGCCAGGGTTGGTTTCCTTAGCGCTACTTCGTTTCGGCTGGTCTGGCAGCTTTACAGGTTTCAGTCCTTTGTCTTCACTGTCTAAGACCGTTTTGATGATTCAGTGGCACCAATTAACACCAGACTGTTGCCCGCCTTTCAAACTATTCACGTCGAGCTTATGTCCTCGGGTGCTTTGGCCGATGTACTTTGCCGCGACTCTTGTTTTTTCACCACCTGTAGGCATGGCCGTGACTGGGCTCTTCCACCACGGCGCGTTCGACGAAGCTCGTTCGCGATTGGCACCTCCACCTGCCGACAGCGCCTGAGGTCCTTCTGTGCCGCCGACTTAAAAGTGTGTGTGTGTGTGTGTTTGTGTGCGTGCGCGCGTGTGTGTGTGTGTGTGTGTGTGTGTGTGTGTGCGTGCGTGCGTGCGTGCGTGTGTGCGTGCGTGCGTGCGTACTTGCGTGCGTGCGTGCGTACTTGCGTGCGTGAGTGCGTGCGTGAGTGTGTGCGTCCCTGCGTGCGGCGTGTCTTTTTGTTCCTCCCTCGATCGCTCGACGCGCTCCCGTCACCCGTCGGCGGTTTTTGCCAGCACCGGGAGGTTCGTCGCCTTGGCGAAGGGGTTCTACGGCAGGTACAGGAACAGGAAAGAGGAGCCGCCGGCCATGGACGCGTGGAGGGACGTAGATGGAGGGGCACGGATGAGGGTGAGGGAGGGCGGCAGGACGGAGGAGAGGAGGACAGGGAAGCGAAGAGGATGAGTGAGAGCGATGGGGGAAAAGGTACGATGGGGAAACGGGAAGGAAGCTCAGTGGGGAAGGGGGGGTTGGTTGATGATGAGAAGGGTGAAGGATGAAGGATGAAGGATGAAGGATGATGATGATGATGATGATGATGATGATGATGATGATGACTATGACCATGACTATGATGATGATGATGAGGATGATGATGATGATGATGATGATGATGATGATGATGATGATGATGATGATGATGATGATGATGATGATGATGATGACTATGACCATGACTATGATGATGATGATGATGATGATGATGATGATGATGATGATGATGATGATGATGATGATGATGATGATGAGGATGAGGATGAGGATGAGGATGAGGATGAGAGGATGAGGATGAGGATGATGATGATGATGATGATGATGATGATGATGATGATGATGCTGATGCTGATGATGATATGATGATGGGTACAAGCTAGGGAAATAAGGCGGGCAATTGCACGCGACACGTGTTCTCAAACACAATTCCATCCAGTTCGAGCTGACGAGCACATCACCGACGAGAATGGCATGCGCATCTTGGGGTGGCAGTTTTTCCCAACCATCCTGTGGTGTTGGGTCCTCGTTCTGAAGAGACAGCGCCCCGCGTCCTCACTCCTCCTCTCCTCCTCCCCCTCCTCCCTCCCACCATCATCATCGCCATCATCATCATCATCATCATCATCATCATCATCATCATCATCATCATCATCATCATCATCATCATCATCATCATCATCATCATCAGTCATGGTCATAGTCATCATCATCATCATCATCATCATCATCATCATCATCATCATCATCATCATCATCGTCACCGTGATCGTCGTCGTCCTCATCATCATCATCACCATCATCATCGTCACTACCATCCTCATCACCATCATCATCGCCATCATCGAAACCATCATCGTCATCAGCTTCGGCACACCCCTCACACGTTTCGTGGCCCCATAGGGAGCTCCACCGAAGGCCCCAGTGCCGCCGCCCTCATGCGTCCCCCACGCTCAATTCGGCACACCCCTCACATGTTTCGCGGCCCCATAGGGAGCTCCACCGAAGGCCCCAGTGCCGCCGCCCGCATGCGTCCCGCACACCCAATTCGGCACACCTCTCACACGTTTCGTGGCCCCATAGGGAGCTTCACACAAAGGCTCCAGTGCCGCCGCCCGCATGCGTCCCGCACACCCAGTTTGGCACACCTCTCACACGTTTCGTGGCCCCATAGGGAGCTGCACCGAAGGCCCCAGTGCCGCCGCCCGCATGCGTCCCGCACACCCAATTCGGCCACCGAAGGCTCCAGCGCCGCCGCCCGCATGCGTCCCGCACACCCAAGTCGGCACACCCCTCACACGTTTCGCGGCCCCATACGGAGCTGGTGGTCCCGACAGCTTCCCTAGGGCCGATTTCTTCGTCGTCGTCGTCGTCGTCCGTCGTCGTCGTCCGTCGTCGTCGCCGTCGTCGCCGTCGCCCTCGTCGTCGCCGCCGTCGTCGCCGTCGCCCTCGTCGTCGTCGACTTCGTCGTCATCATCGTGATCGTCGTCGTCGTCGTTGTCGTCGTCGTCGTCGTTTTCGCCTTTATTATCACCGTCATCATAACCATGATCATCCTCATCGGCATCGTCATCGTCATCGTCATCGTCGTCGTCATGATGAAGCTGTTCTGCAGCTCGCCGCTGTGTTTCGAACGCCAGGCGTCCAACCGCTTCAAGGACACGAAGCTCCGGGATCTCATGGCGTTCCTGCGCAAACCGGGGAAGCAGGCGCCTCCGGCCATCCGGGCCACGTGGACAGCAATGCAGCTGAAACCCGATGATCGCCGGCTCCAGGAGGAGAGGTTCCAGAACGGCCACATGATCGGGTCCTACTGGGACACCGTGGCGCGGTGGATGAACATGCGAGCCCAGCGGGACGCGGACGTCCTGAAGAAGCCCCTGTTCCTCGTGCAGGCCGCCGACAGGTCTGCCCCGACGATGAACGTTAAGGACGCAGCCGAGATGATGAACTGTGCCAGTCCGAAGAAACCAGTGGCATGCGCGGACTGCCCCCGGTGCGCGTGGGCATGCGGATCCGGCTCCTGAATGCGCTCGACCTCGAGAACGGCCTCGTCAAGGACGCCGAGGGGCAGATCGTGCACATCGTCGTGGACTCCTGAGATCGGGACAACGTCGAGAGAGCCGAGAGAGAGGGGGAGAAGAGGATCTATCTGAAGCGTTTGCCGCTGGGGTTCCGGGTGCGCGTGGAGAAGTACGCGAGCGCGCCCTTCGTGGACGACCTGAAGCGCAGCTGCGACAGCCTCGCGGGGGACCTCGCGGGCTCGCTGGTGTCCATCGAGCCCCGCGCGTCGGAGCCGTTCACCTTCCGCGCCTCCGAGGTCACCTGGGCGGGCTTGTTCTCGCACGGCAGGGCGATCACCGCGGCGGCGTGCCAGGGGTGCACCATGCGAGAAGGCGACGGGGCGAGGGAAGGGCGCTCCGGGAACGGCCAGACCTCCAGGGCGCGAGCAGTCCGCAGCCAGACCTCGGTCCTGTGGACTCTCGCTCTGGGCCGTCGGCTGCCCGGCGCACCGCCCCCTCGGCCCGGGTTGGGCTGCGGCCGCCGCGAGGTCGGGAACGGCGAGAAGGAGGGCGACGATTGGCGGCTGGATCTCCACGCGCTGCTCTCGCGCGCCACGCGCCACGAGGGCCTCCTGCTCACGCGGGCGCCGCGCGTCGAGTTCTTCCTGGCCGGGCCGCCGGAGCAGCTGGGGCACTTTGCGGCGCGCGCGAGGCGGCGCGGGAGGGGGGCCGCGGCCCTCGCCAGGGAGCTCGGTTTCACCCAGTTTTTCCGCGAGGCCTGACCTGAGGAGCGGCCCGCCCCAGCCGCGCCCTCTTTTGGCTGTCCGACCGTTTGGCCTCGCGCCGCGGACGAGCCGCGCGGGTCGCGGAGACCCTCTCGGGGCGATCGGCGCGCGTCGCGCGAACTCCGCGCGGCGCTCTGCCCGGCGCCTCTATCGCCCCTCGCCCCTCCGCCCAGCGGCCGGGGCCGCGCGCGCTATCACTTAGCCTGCAAGCGCTCTCTGCTCCGCACGGCGGACGAATTGCGCGCGTCACTGCGACTCTTTCGTGACGACCTGCGCGCGTCGCGGGGGCCCCGCGTAGCGCGGCGCCCGCGGCCTTGAACTTTGGAGTGCGCGGGCAGAGAGGAAGGGCAAGAAAGGCAGGAAGCGGGCGCGATCCTCGCTTGGGGCGCGCTGACATGGGCGTCGCCGCGCGCGGGCGGCGCCGTCGGGGGTTCCCGGGGAAACTCCTCGCGGAGGCTGCGCTCAGTGTCGCGAGTTCCCAGAGGCAGGCAGACCCAAACCGTTCGCATTCGTGTGCATCTACACTGGGCGACCCCATGCTCGCAGTCATGCGACTAGAACCAATCGGGCGCATATTTATTCAGAATCAGATTCGCTCGCGCTTGCGCTCGCCCGCGCTCGAGCTCTCATACCTAGACCTATTGTTTTCGTTCGTGTCGTGTACTCAATCGCACAACTCGGCGCGCCCCTCGTGCGCTTCGTGGCCCCATGGGGAGCGCCGCCGAACATGTATACATATATATATATATATACGTATATATATGTGTATATATATGTATATATATATGCATATATATATATATGTATACGTTCATGTATGTGTATGTATGTTTGTATATGTATATGTATAGGTGGATGTATATGTATATGTATATGTATATGCATAGGTATATGTCTATGTATATGCATATGGTTATGCTGATGTGTATGTATATGTACATGTATATGTATACGTGTATGTATGTGTATGTATATATGTATGTACGTGTATATATATATGTATATGTGTATGTGTATGTGTATGCATATGTATATGTACATTCATATGTATATTTATGTGTATATGTATATGCGTATGTCTATGTTTATGTTTATGTATTATATGTATATGTATATGTATGTGTATATGTATAATTTTATGTATGTGTATGTGTATGTATTTGTACATGTATATGTATACATGTATATATGTATACATACATATGTGTGTGTATAGGTGTATGTGTATGCGTATGCATATGTATATGTATATGTATATGTATATGTTTGTGTGTATGTATATGTATAAGTATATGTACATGTATATGTATGTGTATGTGTATGTGTTTATGTATGTGTATACGTATGTGTATATGTATGTGTATATGTATATGTATATGAATATGCATATGTATATGTATATGTATATATGCATATGTATATGTATATACATATGTATATGTTTATGTATATGTATATGCATTTGTATATGTAGTTGTATATGCATATGTATATGTATTTGTATATGTATATGTATATGTATATGTATATGTATATGTATGTATATGTATGTATGTATGTATGTATGTATGTATGTATGTATGTGTATATATACATATATATATAATTATATATATATATATAATATATATATATATATATATATATATATATCACAATTGAGGTATTCACAAATGCTTATGGTTGGGTCTTTCGACAGGCTAATTAGCTTGAGCCGAAAAGGTTCTGCCGCAGAACAGGCCACATTCATCGGGGCACTTCGTTCAGGGCAGCTTGCAGGAGCCTGGCCACATTTGCAGAGGAGGGCGGGGGAGGAGGGAGAGGATAGGGGACAAGCTAGGTACGCTCGCGCCACACCTGGCATCCAATCCCTGTCTAGTGCGCTGATTTCTCCCAACCATCCTGTGGTGTTGGGCTCTCGTTATGAAGAAACGGTGCCCCGCGTTCCTCTCCTCTCTTCTCCTCTCCTCTCCTCTCCTCTCCTTCTCCTCTCCTCTCCTCTCCCATCTCCCATCTCCCATCTCCCATCTCCCATCTCCTCCTCTCCTCTCCTC